CAGGCTGGTGTGCTTCTTCCATGTGGGCTTTGTTGCTTCTGAGCTAGATGGCCGCTTGTTTACCTTCAAGCCTTTAAGACCTCAGACGCTATATCTTTTGATAGCGGGCACCATCAGCTTTCTTCACCACATTTGCTTATGCACCTGCTTTGTCTTCAGCAATCATGTTAGGAAGGTGAGCATCATGGAATGCCAGTTTAATAGAACAAAGTATTCTTGCATTGAGAGAATACTTGAGTGGAGGCCCATGTCCATCTGTGACCTTAATACTAAACCTCTAAATATATGCACATAGATCTATTTCCCCATGATCATATATAAATATATTTACATTTGTACATGCCTATAATTAGACCTCTATAAATGCCCTTTACCTCCTAGTTCTTTCCTCTATTTCCTTTTACTTTTGTCTTGTCCCACTATCATGCTCAGCCTTCATTCGAGTTCCAGTAATTCCTCTCGGTTACATTGCCCTTGATCAAGTCCTACCAGGCCTCTTACACCCTCCTCGCCACTAATTTTGGATCACTTGTTCCCTTGTCCCTGGGTTGGTCGCTTCTCCCCATTTCCTTTCTCCCACCTCCCCTTCTCCCATATCCCACCTTGGAACCACTGGTGCCATTCTTTTTATCTCTGAATTATTTATCCTGCCTATCTTATCTAGAGAGACATGCAGATACATTAATAAGTGCAAAAAAACAGGTAAAGCCAAATAAAACAACAAAGGAAGTCAAAACCAACAAAACAATAACAACAGCAGCAAAAAACAAACAGAAAATAATAACAAAAAGAAAGCCACTGACACAAAATGGAGAAACTTATAAATAGTTCAAGGTCTGTTTGTTGGCCTTTATGAGTGTTTTCCAGTCACGTCTGATGGGGTGCCACACTCTGTCTCCAAAGTCTATTTTTGGTATTCCCGGGGTTTCATCAGTCTGCTCATCCTGCTACTCTGCTGCATGCCCTCAGTGCCTTGCCACAGCGTGATGGGGCCCAACGGAATGCCCATTCTTCTCAAGGTTATCCATAGTTTGTTAGGATCCACACAATCAAATGTCTTTGCATAATCAATAAAACAAAAGTAAATGTTTTCTGGTATTCCCTGCTTCAAGTCAAGATCCATCTGTTGCCAGTAATAATCTTTGTTGTTCTATATCCTCTTCTGAATCCAGCTTGAATTTCTAGCAGCTCCCTGTCAATGTATTGCTACCACCCTTCTTGAGTGATCTTCAGCAAAATTTTGCTTGCATGTGATATCAGTGATATTGTTCTGTAATTTGAGCATTCTGTTGGGACATCTTTCTTTAAAATAGATTAAAAATAGACATCTCTTCAAGTCTGTTGGCCAAGTAGCTATCTTCTAAATTTCTTGGCATAGACAAGTGTATGCTTCCAGTATTTCATCAACTTGTTGAAATGTTTCCATTGGATTTCCGTCAATTCCCATAAAGGGTTTCTGAGATTGTAACTCTTTATGGGAACAGTTGGCCTTGTCTCTCTCTCACACAGTGGTTGGTAGGTTGAAATCACCACCTTG